GCTTTTGTGTGTACGGAGAATGGATAAAGATTAACCCATAACTTGAAGAGGTTTAATATTAAAATGTACATTGAATCATCCACAAAGGAGTCTCTTCCAAAAAGTGGCATGTTTAAAAACTGTACGAATAGAACATCTTTCTTACACTTGGAGGACGGGGGGGGAATAAGTGTGATTCAACTTGGAAATAGCATGGTGAGTCCTAATAATTAAGATATAAACTTATGGAACTAAAAAAACGGTTCTCGTCTGAATAACTGCTACAGAAATAGTGATAAAGCTAGCATCGTTTCGTTTGAGGGGGTGGGGAAGTTTTAAGACACGAAACAAATAATATGTTATTGATTAGGTTGTTAGGAAAATGACCCATTTTAGTATAATTTTTTTTATTACTGAATTAATGTATTTAAATCCGTCAAAATAGCAACTCTGAACATCTGTATATTTCTGCCATCGAGTTACAAAATTATTCAATGGCTTTACGATGAAAGTCTAAAGGTTTTAATATCAAGAAATCTTTAAATGCATTTTCTGCATCTTCTTTGCAACAGAATGTCTTTTGGCTTAAAAACAAATTCTCAAAATGCTTCTCAAGAGGTATTCAGCGGACGAAAGGTAGAGGAAATATGGTAGATGTGGAAAAGTCACGTATCCCAAATCCAAGAGCTTCTACATCCGCAATAGAGGAGGAACTGGCTTATTAAATGAGGTTAATTACGAAACCTCTAATTGCGTGACTCTTTGTGTTTCGTATTTGGTGAGTAATAGCATACAAAATAAGCGTTAGTGATTTTATTCTAAAGATTGGAATGATATTTTGGCCAACCAATTTCCTGGTCCTAGAATTTCTACCCCTACACCTTTAAACTAGCTTTTCATATTTATACGAATGATCTGTAATTGATTTAAAAATGTCACTTGAATATTCGTCATATTTCTGCCCTCCAAATCTGCCTATCAGTTCTTTTTCCTGAAGGCAATTAATTAAGTCAGGCTTGCTGTCGTAATTTTTAATAAATGCCATTTTGTTTTATTTATTATTTTTATCCTTTTTATTGGAGCATGATATTAATTTTTTGCGATTGTCGTAGAGGAAATTTAATTCAATGATTACGTTGTTCGGAAAATAATGTCCTATTCTCGAATCAATATTTATTCCTGAATTAATGTATTTGAACATTATTTATATCAGTCAAAATAGGAACTCTGAACATCTGTACATTTCTGCCATCGAGTTACAAAATTATTCAATGGCTTTACGATGAAACTCTAAAGGTTTTGATGCAGAGAAGTCTTTAAATGCAGTTTCTGCATCTTCTTTGCAACAGAATGTCTTTTGGTTTGAAAAATTGTCAAAATGGTTTAAAAAGTGGTATTGAATGGGAGAGGCGTCAGAGAAACATGGCGAATGTGGTAAATTCTTGTCTTTCAATTCGGTGAGCTTCTTTAATGTCATCCTGACAACATGCGACATTGTCACGAGACAGAAATGTACCAGGTTGTTGATCACATTTTTCTTAACAATGTTTATTTAATCCAGTTAATGGCAGTAAAATTCGGCAGGGATGCTCTGCTTAGATTCTATAAAGCTGTAACGGACAGCACCAATGGCAGACCCCCAGACAGTCAACATATTATTTTTTGGTCCTTCGTCATGATCAAGGCCTTCAGGCGATTGTTTACGATTGTCTTAAAGTAACCCTTTTCTCTTCGCATTCGATGACAATTCAATCAAGAAATGGATGATTCGAATTTCGCAGATGCAGCATCGAATGCACTTCAAAACATCATACTCTTTGACTTTCACTGACTTCATGTGGAACACATTCATCGAATTTCTTCACCCTGCCAATTTTTTTGAGATGATCTGATATAATTGAAAAGCAGACAGCCATTGTCCGAGACAAATCTCAGACACTTTGACGTTGAATTCAAAGATTGATTGTCAAATTGCATAAGGAAATCTTCTATTACCTTAATATTCAAAACCTGAATCCCCAGTGCGGATCTTCAGAAATCAGCGCCGTACTGTCCAATCATCATACTTATATGTCTTCACTGGGCCATTATTTCATTTTTCTTTCATTTGTTTTGGTGGTATCATAAGTATTACTTGCAGGATGTCAGATTTATAATGAAATTCATTTATTATTATTAGAATTTATGTGCATATGTCTTCATTTTGTATGCTTATGCTAACGCACACGTGCAAATGAAGGCACACACATATATAAGCATACTTACGCGGACATTATATACACACAGCCTATATAAACTTATGCCTGTGCCTTGTTATTAATAAACTAGTGCGTAAATAGTGGAGTTATGTTTTCTATTTTAAGCTATTAATTATCTGAGTGCGATGGGTAAATTGTCATCTAAAATACGTAAAAATTAAAATAACACTGACATCTCATTTTTACAGATATATTTACCAACATTACAAAAAATATCTTGAAATACTAAAGAGTAAATTTATTCAATAAAATCGCCATTAGCTTCAACCACGGCCTTCAGACGGGTTCGGAATCTCCTGCATCTCTTCTGGACGGTCTCCTTATTCTAGTTGTTGGTTACTTCCATAATCCTTGCCTTCAGTTTATCTTTGGTGTTACAATGAGATTTGTTGGTATCTCGCTCAACTGCCCCCACCAATCATAATAATCAAGTGGGTTGCAGTCTGGGGAGTAAGGTGGCCATATGTAAACGGTGATGTAGTCGGAGATATTATCTGAAGGACATGATTGTGTTCTGCTGCTTATGTAGCATGGTGTAGAGTCTTGTTGCCAGACTTAGGGTCTTCCAGCAGCCAACCTTTTGACCCAGGGCAGCACTACCTCCTCAAGGCACTTGATGTAGATCTCTGTTTTGAGCCCGAGACACGCACCAACAAATTGGACAGTTCTTTCCTTATTAGAACGATCAGAGTGAGTTTACCTTGATGCCGGACCTTTGAAATCACCATTAGACTGATTTAACTTTTTCCAAATCCTCTTCACTCTCCTCAGATTGATGCCCAAACACTCTGAAATGTCCGTATTGAAGCTTCCGGCATGAATGTCATGCAGTACAGCATATTGTTCCCAAATATCTGGCGGAGTGAATTACTCATTTTCTCACAGATGGTGCCTAACTGACCTTCTATACTATTCAGTCGACAAAATAAAATAAAATAAAAAACTACACGCATGACTGAAATAAAAAATATAAAATGGCGACAATTTATCCATCGCAACCTATCTATCTGTGTGTGTGTATATATATATATATATATATATATATATATATATATATATATATATGATTAATTCTCTCGTCTTCTTTATATTTATGAGCCAAAACCTCAGTTCTTAGAAAGGAACAACGCATATATGATTTGGTGAAGCTGATGAAAGCTTGTAACGATCCAACATACTGGATAGAGACAACTAGTGCATGGGGTCTGCAAACGACCTACCTCAGGTTTTGAATTCAAATTTTCTTTCTCTTAGACTGGTTGACTACCAAGGCTAAACTGTACCGTTTGCTCTCTCCCTTTTTCTCTCTCTCTCTCTCCATATATATATATATATATATATATATATATATATATATATATATATATATATATATATATATATATATATATATATATATATATATATATATATATATATATATATATAAAGTAACGAAAATCTAGGTAACCCATATAGATAATCCCAAGGAGGATGAAATCCTGAGGGCTCAATGGTAAGTCAGAGCGAATAATTTAATTTAATTAAAAAAACAAAAAAAAAAACCACTTTAAGGCTCCATTAATTATAATTTATTTCACCAGAGAATTTTATTTTTCTCTGGATCTTCAGACTTCACTTTGAAAGATGCAACGAAATATATATATATATATATATATATATATATATATATATATATATATATATATATATATATATATGAACAAATTAGGAGATCATCTGACCACGCTACCTTTGTTTCAACCTTTTGGAATTTTCAGGCGATTCAGGTTAAATTATTTCCTAACAGTTTAAATAATTTCCTAAAAGTTGAAACCAAGTTAGCGTGATTGGACTATTTCCTGATTCTTTTTTTAAATTTAAAAGATCTGTGTGTTAAATTTTTATTTCATTTTGTTTTCTTTATACGTGTATTGAGTACTTTTTAACTCTACTGTTTCCTGGTCTAATTCAAATCCGACCGGTAACCTTTTTTTTATAATAGTAGCCAATGGAAGACAGACAAATTATTTTGGTCCGTTCAAGCAAAAGATGTGACATTAATTTAGGCAGCAATTATCAAAGTACATAAGTTTCGGCCTTCAATCATTTGGCCTTCACTGTTCTCCCGTGTGGAAAAATCCAAGTCTCCTATTTGGCTACTGTAAAGTAAAAAAAAAGAAAAAAACAGATAATGGATAATGCAAAAGAAAATCCTATCAGAGGCTGGTAAAAAAAACGTCGGTATAAATATAATGAATGAGAGATATTTTCTAGAAGGAACAAAGCTTTCCTAATTGTAAGAGAAAGAAAGGTGGGAAATGACAGTTAAATAATTCTAACGATGGCTGATAAACAGAATGCGTTTGAGTAATTATTAAGGAAGATATAAGAAACAAAGAGAATGCGATATAACGGAAAGATGAAAAAGATGAAATGAGGAGGCCGGAGAATGAAAAGAAAATGAAAAAGAGAAGGAAGAAAATTATACGAAGAATAAAACGAAGGAAATATAATGAAAAAAAAAAAAGAATCAAAAGTGAAAAAAAAAATTAAATAAATAGCAGTTAAAAGAAAAAAGAAAAGAGAAAGAAAAAGTAAACGAAGAAAAATAAAAATAAAACTATGAGAAAAGAAAATGAATGATTAGATTTTACGACTTGGGATGATGTCATAGTTGGGGTGAAAAAGATCGATACATAACTTATCTATGTGAATATAATAAACCCGACGTTTCGATTTCCAATTTCGAGCCGTTATCAATACACCAACCGCAAAACCAAGCTTGCAGCACCTGGCATACCCCAGCGGTCACCCATCTAGATACTGACCTGGCTGTACGTTGCTTAACTTCGGGGATCGTATGAGAACCTTGTTTCAATGTGATGTGGCTAGGTGGAAAAAGAAAATGAAATGTGAAGGAGAAGTAAAAAATAGAAGAAGAAGAAGAAGAAGAAGAAGAAGAAGAAGAAGAAGGAGAAGAAGAAGAAGAAGAGTCAGGAAATTGTGGAGAGTCATAAACGCCTATGTCGTGAAGGTCGGTGTATTGATAACGGCTCGAAATTGTTTGACACTCAATGCCATGTAAGAGGATGGATATCACATAGCAATCCGTCACGCTTTTCTTTGTTTTTATTTTTTTACTTTTTTCAGCACCTTGCTTAATTTTTGGAATGCGTCTGTCGACAGTCCAATGTTTGTTCGAATCTCGGTCTAGTGGAAAGAAATAAAAAAGAATAAAAGAGTAGAGAGATAACATGAAAAAAAATATTTTTTCACATCCTGTCACCTCAGAACAGAGGTAAAGCGTATCTTTTGTCAGCTTGATTTTCTTTATTTTCTGTGAGTTAGGATGACTTCTGCGATAAGTTTTTTTCAGTGTCAACGTTCTCCTCTTCAAGGTTTAATAAAGAGGTTTCTTTCTCCTCAGTTGGTTACCACACAATGAGAGAGAGAAAAAGAGAGAGATACAGAGAGTTCATGCATCCTCTAAACTTTTATGTAACACATATATTTTGAGCAAAATGGCGGATACGGGCATATCACGTTAAAATACCGGTTCTCTTCCGATCGCGGATGTTAAGCGGTTACACATCTGCGCAATGGTCAGATGCGTGACCGCTGGGCAATGACATGTAAGTTACCCGACAATCTTAGGAAGACGGAGACGGATGAAATCCCGCAGATGATCTCGATATACAGATGTTCTTCTGGTCTGACAGGTGCCAAGACCTACGTGGATTTGGGTGAATAAGAAGAAATTAATTCCGGCCTTTCTAAACGACATTAATGCAAAGCTACACAACAGAAATAATGACTTTCCAATGGTCATTAGTTCTGAGCTAACACAAAAGAAATAATGATTTTCCAGTGTTCATTAATTCGAAACTAACACAAATGAAATAATGTTTTTCCAGTGTTCATTAGTTCGGAGATAACACAAAAGAAATAATACTTTTCCAATATTCATTAATTCGAAACTAAAACAAATAAAATAATGCCTTTTCAGTGTTCATTAGGTCGGAGCTAACACAAAAGAAATAATGCTTTTTCAGTGTGCATTAGCTCGGAGTTAATCCAAAATAAATAATGTTTTTCCAGTGTTCATTAATTCGAAACTAACACAAAAGAAATAACGCTTTTCCAGTGTTCATTAATTCGAAGCTAACACAAAAGAAATAATAATTTTCCATCATTCGATAGTTTAAAGCTAACGCAAAAGAAATAATGCTTTTCCAGTGTTCATTAGTTCGAAGCTAACTGAGAAGAAATAATGATTTTCCATTTTTAATTAGTTCGAAGCCAATACCAAAGTATACCTGTCTTTCCAAAGATCATTACTTCGCTGTGATCACAAATGATTATGGCAGAATTTTGACCCAGCACGACGATTCCATTTTCCGTTCCGGTAACCGTTACATTTTCTTCCTATTCGCCCAAAACATAAGAGTTTTAAAATGTAGATAAGCCGGAAATGCGGGGACTCATTTACCTTGTAATTAAGCGTATACGAGAAAATATATAAATTCTCTTAAATACTACTACTACTACTACTACTACTATTACTACTACTACTACTACTACTACTACTAATAATAATAATAATAATATTTGTCTTGATTTTGCGCTAGATATGGTTCTCATGGCTTCTGATTTTTATTGATAGGATCTCTTAACATATACATGTTATTTTTATAATCAATTAAATTGGTCTACTGTAAATATCCCGATTTGTTTCTCATTCGTTTGACCATAACAAGTTGGTTATTTTTTTTTACAGGGGTGTTCAGCTTGTACATGGCCCAAGGACAACTCGAGGAGTAGGGTGCACAGCTTCTGCGGGTATATGCGGAAGATAACGGTTAAGCCATAGACTTGAACAGGTTAAAATTGTAGGGATCGACGAAGCAACCTATCCGTCCTGGGTATGACTATAAACTATATCCGCGTCCTGCGTAAGACGATAAACTACATTCAACAGCAAGGCCTCTGATCAGGAGGTTTCGAGGAGCGTGGAACCACCTCTTAATTGCTGGTGTTCCCAGTTCCACCCTGACTCGGGGTGGTAACATCTGTTAGGGTCCAAGCTATGGGCAAATAGTTAACCCCAAAACTGGGGTCAAAACACTATTAAAGTGTAAAAATGGGTTTTAATCCCAGTATATTTTGTAAAAATATTATTAACAGCAATAAATATTTGAAGAAAAATTGTTACCAAATACACACTTTTGAAAAAAAAACACAAAAAAAAAACTTGTCGGCGTTAAATAACCCACTGAGGTTGATATGCCGTAAAACAAAACAAATCAAACTAAGTCTGAATGTTTTATTACCATCGATACATTTTTGAAAAAATATCTTGTTGGCGTTAAATAACTGATGTGGGGCCAAAGTTGGGACCACAGAAGGAAAACACGGAACACGGATTAGATGTAAGAAAGATATATTAACAACAGGTTACAGAGATAGTGTAAGCGGAGCTTACTATATGTTAGTGTCCAACACTGGTAGTCATACGAGACTCTCACTGTCTCTCTGTGTCACTCTTTGTCACTCTCTAAAGTGCTATGTCGCCTACTTAATATAGGCCTGGAAGAGTCTATTGTGTAGGTAGTTTCCGGTCTCACAAATGCCCCTTCCAAAGAGTTTTCTTTTTGAAAAGGAGAGAAAAAATAAGGCTGTTAATACTTTTTCCTCTTGGGATTTACGTTGAGCGGTTGAGTAAATTTCCTTTTCCTTCCTGAGCGTCGCACTTCAGGAGAGACTTGGGGCATGTCGGGATCGAACTAGAGATCTTGATGCGTGAGCCACAGCTTTTCGCGAACCATCTGACAGTTTATGTAAAATGCAAGCACCAATGCCGTACGAGCTTGCATCACTTGCGACTATGATGTCGAGACTAGGGTCGTAATGGGTGAGGGAGAGGTCTGAAGTAAGAGTTTTCTTGATCTTCTCGAATGCATCTTGGCATTCCGGGGTCCATGATCATGGTTTGTCTTTTTTTAAAAGTTGGTTGAGAGGCCCTCTCAAATTTTGCATGTTCTTAATGAACCCTTGGTAAAAGTTAGCTAGACCGAGGAAGCTTTGTAACGCTTGAACGTTATCTGGGGCCGGCATGTTTCTGATCGCGTTGGCTCTTTCTGGATCCGGCCAACATGGCGTCCATGACGTGCTGGAAAATTGCAGGCGCAACCTTTACTCCAAAAGCCAGCCTGTTGTATTTGTACAACCCTCTATGGGTGTTTATGCAGAGCAATTTGGAACTTTCTTCTTCCACCTCTATCTGAAGGCATGCGTCCGAGAGGACAATTTTAGAAAAGATTTTTCCACCATTGAGTTTAGTGAAAATTTCTTCAGGGCTTGGGGGAGGATAGTGGTGATCTTGCAAGGCATTGTTTAACCCCGTGGAAAAATCTGCGCATATTTGATTGGACTTCTTTTTTATATAGACCCACTCGCTGAAATCTGTTTTTGACAGAATACCTGCTTGTTCGAGTCTATCTAACTCTTTGTTGATTTGCTCAAGAGCAGCGAAAGGAACAGTCTGTTTCTTTTTGAATACCGGTTGTGCACCGTCCTTCACCTTGAACTTAGCTTTCATTTTAGTACATTTCCCAAGGCCGCCAGAAAAAAACCTGGGGAGATTGTTGTTTGCGTTCCTTTTTTAGATTTACCAAATTGGACGTTGTACTTTGTATCTAGCGACAAAATGTACTCATTGGGCTATCCCAAAGATTGAATGTTTCTATCCAATCTGTTCCAAATAAGTTATCTGAAGTTTTTAATACGTAGGCTTTGAGCTTTTTGGTAACTCCATTTAGTGTTACTGTAAGTATTACCTCGCCTAAAATGTTAATCTTTTCGTCAGTTACGGATTTTGCTGTTTTATCCGTTTTTAATAAGGTCGGCTTGTTTAATTTTCGACAAGTACGCCAGTTAATGATTGAAAGATCGGAACCCGTGTCAAGCTGGAATTTAATGGACTTGTGACGTGACGCGGCTGTCTCAGGGTCGATCCTTTGGTCACGGCACCAGTTGTGACGTGACGCGGCTGTCTCAGGGTCGATCCTTTGGTCACGGCACCAGTTGTGACGACACGTGCTCACCAGGCTCTGATATCCTGGTCACGGACAGCACCAACTGTGACGTCTTTGCCGCGGCGTCAGCTGTTCGCTCCTCGCTGCTCCAAACGTGACGTTCTAACCCTTTGGTTAGATTGATACCAGCCTCGCCGTTCCCACCCCGCTTCCAACGCCTGGTTACCAGGGTAACTGCACTGATCTCCAGTCTGTCTACCCACGTTGTGAATTGATCTTAGACAGACGAGATCAAACAGGGGTTGTGGCCGTAATGCAAGTTGAGTCTAACGGGGGTGATAACACACAATTATGTATAAAAGAAAATAAAATAAAAACTCACAAGGTCCAACGTATCAAGAAAAAGGTAACAAACTTTTTATGTCTAATTGCTCGGTACATAGGACTATGTCTACTTCCCGACCCGTTCTGTGGATTGTGGCACGACGCTTTTACTAGGCAACTTTAAGGCTTCCAGTTGTCTGCTCTCTAAGAAATTTGTGTTTCGGTGTGTCTTTGGACGAAAGTCGAAAAAAACTTATTTCTGTGGTCTGATTCTAAGTCGCTCTTCAAACTACTTGTTCTTGGTTGAAGAAGAGTCCAGAAGTGTGCGTGAATCTTGGTCAGCTATCTTGACGCTGTTTCAACACTGGGCGCTCATCTCTGCTTGTCGTCCACAGCTGAACTCTTTCGCCGTCTGCGGCTCAACTCAAACTGATTTCTGTCGGTTGGGGTTTCGCTTTTATTGACGCAGTCAAAACTGGGGTGGGTCTGTCGGCGCCAGGGGTTTCTTCGATAATT